ATATATATGTCAACTTCAAATTTAATCAGCTGACTTTTGTTACGTTTTCTTTATTTCTTTTTCTGTCTGTTAGTCTGAATAACTTCATTAATTATATCTATTATTATTTTTATTATTATTATCTCTTTTCTTTTGTCAACGACACCGGAGGATTGACTGGTGAAAGGATCAGCTCCATTCACAGTAGCGAAAAAGTTTTAACACACTGCACACCACAAACAACACATAATTAATCCCATCGCTAATCCTTTTGTAGTCAACCAAAGTTACGATGGTTGAGTGGCGGGACGAATAACGCAGAAGTTCGACGAAGACCAGGAACCTCTACCTCACAATCAGTAAGCAGGCGCAAACAAATTAAACTGGTTTACAACAGCTCGTGAAAACGATATTGGATATTGGACATACTGCTTTTACCACACTAAGGAAAGGTTTGTGACTTGTGTGTGACTTTTCCTCTCTAACCGGAAAATACCTATTTTGTGAATTATCCGCTTGGGAAACCTGATCTTCCTAGCCGGTGAATTAAATTCAACCATTACTTACATATCGAATCTCTGTGTGGTAAGTCCAGCTGTCTCGAACTACTGCCAAAGCTTCAGGTGCTATTTTTGTAGCAGCATCTTCCCCACTCGTTCAGATAAACAAGACTTGTTGGTCTACCACGTGATTGCTGTGAAGCCGATCATCCAGAAAGTACTAGGTAAAGTCGAAAACCTTTTCTTTTCCTTGTCTTGTACTTTTTCAGTCTTAATCTTTTTCTTGTGGGTAGATACTGTTGCACTTTTATTCTTATACAGCATAAGTTTTAGCGATAGTTAATATGGCTGTAGAAAGTAACCTTAAAAATGGCACCAAAACACCTTACTCTGTAGTCACAAGGGCTTCAGCCAGAGAAGGCAAAAACGCAGGGACACCAACCCCAAATTGCATACCCATCCTAAAGACCCGTGTAGGACTCGTCTGTCCGGATACTATGCCTGCAGTGCCACAGTCTAGTACTGAAACGGCTCAGGCAATACTAGTAGGACAGGATACTACTACACCTGCACCAACTAAAAGCCAATGTGTGAAGTATAACAAACCTAAAAGGAAACGCTCAAGACGTCATAAGACCTCGAAGGCGTCACCAAGTAAGGGAGACGAGTGCCAGGCGTGCAATATCATTGTTTCTAAAGCTGACTCAGCTTTCGAATGCAATTTTTGCAAACGGTGGGTGCACTGCCGTTGCGACAAAGAGGTACCGAAATCATACTACGAGTTTATGAGAAATAACCCATGCCCGTGGTTTTGGTACATCTGTCCACTCTGTCGCCCTGGTGTAGTCACACAGAGCGTGTCTGCGGCTAGCAGAAACAACACGCCGCCCTTGTGTCCCAACACGGTCTTATGTAGCTCCCCACCTGCTAACGTCACATTGCCAAAACTTGGCACAGACAGTAAGAAGGACACTCCTGTCCTACTGACCGAAAATGCCAATTTTACCAAGGTGAAGATTCATAAGGCTGGACCTAAAAAATCAAGGAAAGATAGAGTTAGAGAAGCACCACTTGCATCCACAAGCAAGCTTGGCAACACAATAAAGGCTGGTCAGAACCCGATGAAGCCTAAAGTTGCTGATGCTGCAAAGGGATATGAGAAGCCAAAGGCCAAACCTAAGTCTGAGGTTAATCGGTCTAATTCGCTCATCCTCTTTAACGTACCTGTGAGCAAGGACAGCTTGCTTGAACAGCGGGCCCTGTTTGATCAGGAACAGTGGTCCAACCTGTGCAATAAACTAGGTCTGAATATTAGTTCAGTGAAATTGTGCAGGCTGTACAGGGGTGTCCACACACCTCAAGGTAAGCCACCCCCATTACGGGTTACACTGGACTCTGCCGAAGAGGCCGAAAAGGTACTATTGATGGCTCAGGTACTAGCCATCGACAGAAGCTCTAACATAAGGGTGAGACAAGACAGACCATGGGCTGTCAGACAAATGGCAAGGGAGTCACCGGAACTTTTGCCTTCCACCTCTATGGTAGTGCACGGTGTCCCGGAGCTGGAAACGGGCACTGCCTGTGAAAAACACATGCATGACGTACAGCAGTGGAGATGGCTCTCGTCTCAGATGGCCCTTGGCGCTTCTGGAGCCATCTCCGTTTACCGACTACCTCGCCCCGCTCATCTCACACTGATTAGCTCCCCAAGGCTGCTTAGTGTCACATTCAACTCCCCAGAGCAGTTGGCCATAACACTTCAACGGTGGTATGAGATCAAGGGGAAATTGGGAGGAAACATCCGATGTTGCGAAAGCAGACCTCGAACCATAAGGAGGCAGCAAACTGAGGCTTTAATACGTCCCCAAGCTTCAGTGACACTCGAGCGATGCAGTTCTGAGAATAACAGTCTGTGCCACCCAAGTGTCCTGCCTAAATCCAAGGGAAAAAACCACAATGGGCCGGTTCCATCGGAACTGGCCAATTAGTCCCAACACTAAGTTCCCTACCAGCAGACAGCTTCACGTCAACTACCCCACAACACGCTGAGGTTGTAAGACTCACTGTCAGCTGCCTGTATAGCAATGTGAGGGGGCTGAGAGTAAAAATTGGTGAACTCCGAAATCTCCAAGCACACCTACAACTGAAAATAATCATTCTCACCGAAACCTGGCTAACCCCCACTATCGCCGACAACGAAATCAGTATAGGTGATATAGTTCTGGTCAGGAGAGACAGGGATAATAAGGAAGGAGGGGGAGTTGCTATATACTTTGACAGGTAACTTAAATGTGTACGCGCAACGGACCCACCACTTATTGAACTCCCAGACTCCATATGGTGTCATTTCACCGTAGGCCACACCAAGCATTTACTTGGTGGCATCTACCGATCTCCCACCTGTGGGGCAGAGCACAATCAGCTACTGCTCAGCACTATCACAGGGATACGAGACTTGGGCTATGACCAAATCACCATTGCTGGAGATTTCAATGCCCCATCACTGAACCTTGGCTCGGGGTATGCTAAGGGAAAATTCGGCCGAAATCTACTGCAAGCTATTCGGAACACGGGACTGACTGAGAATGTTGGAGACGACACTAGGTGGGGCCCTAGTGGAAAGTCATCAAAACTAGACTACATTCTAACTAGTGACCAACTACTCGTCGAAAAGGTCCAGGTCATGACTCCTCTAGGAAGTAGTGACCATGCAGTCATAGGTTTCGACCTCGTTCTCCGTGAGCACTTGCAGTGGGACGCTACGCAACCATGTCTGTGTTACAGCAAGGCTGACTACGCTGAAATGCGGAGGCTCTTGTTCGATGCAGACTGGCCCTTAGCATGGGATGAGCTGTCTGTGGATGAACACTGGGAAGCGGTAAAAAAGATTATTCATACAGCGATCTCGGATACCGTCCCTTTAGTCACAGCACAGCCAAAAAGAAAATCATCATGGTTAAAGAGAGGCACGCAGCGTATTCTGCAAGCAAAGAGGAAGGCTTGGTTTACGTGGCGCGTATCTGGAAGCCAGATCGACCATGATGCATACCTGGAACTCAGGAACCGGTGCAATGCAAGAGTCAGGAGGGACAGAAGGTCATTCCAGGCTAACCTTGCTAAAAAACTCCTGGCAAACCCGAAGAATTTGTACCGATTCATGTCGGAAAGGAAACCAACCAACCAAGGGGCTTGCGCCTTAGTAGGCCAAAACGGTCAATATCTCACTAGTCTGGAGATGGCTGAAACATTCAGTTTAGCCTTCGCCAAACAGCTAAACAGCAATGTGGGTATTACCGTTACGAACCAAAATGGTGGCATGACTATTTCACAGGAGGAAGACCAAATAGCCACCCCTCAAATAAACCCTGCAATAGTACTGAGAAAGCTGCAGCGGCTCATACCTGGGAAGTCCCCAGGTTGTGATGACATCAGACCATCTGTTCTGAAACAGTGCGCCGAAGCTCTCTGTAGGCCTTTATGCGACTTGTTCCAACACTCCATGGAATCGGGGAAACTGCCAAAGGAATGGAAAAGAAGCATCCTTTCTCCGATCTTCAAGGGTGGGGATAGGCAAAATCCCACCAGTTATAGACCAGTAGCTCTACTCCCAGTGGTATCGAAAGTACTGGAAAGTATTATTGATGATCACATCAGGGAATATCTGGATAGGTCTAAAATACTCCATGAAGCCCAACACGGTTTCAGGAGTATTA